TAATGAGATTTCGAAATATTAAATAGAATTAATGGATATAATTCTACGTGACTCAAGATAAAGGTTGCTGTTTGCTATCTGTGAGTACTGTACATCACTTAAATCTATCTATTTGTAGACTGTAAACATGAAGTAATCCTGTTGGATATTATTGCATCATATTTATCCATGATTTGGGAAATAAATATAGAAATGAATGTTGTGATTGTTTATTTCATTTGTTAAAATGTTTTCCACTAAGATAACACAATTTTTGAGTTCATTTTTTATGCTTAAATCAGATTATTTAATATTTTATCTGAGTAATACCATTTTTCATTATGTATATTTTCTTATTTAAAATTTAAAAATATATTCGTAACAAAAGCATATGTGTTGAGAACTTTTAAATATATTTATTCGTTTGAAATATTTTAACCACAATGATATTATTTTAAAATTTCATAAAGAATTAATCCGAACTACCTTAAAAAATAGTTATTTTATTTTTAATTATTTGTTTATTTAATACAAAAAATTATTTTAATGAATTTTTAATTTTCTTTTCAATGTAAATCAATTTATTAAGAACATGTTTATTATAAAAGTATTAACATGTTTAAGTACTTGTTAATTTATTTAATTAACAGTTGTATAATGAATTTAACCATTTATATGTTTAATATATATATATTTAATAATTTATTTGTAAAATTTACAAAACTATAATAAGTCTTGCGTATAAGTAAAAGCAAATTTAGTAGCACCCCGCCATATGATCGATACGTTTCATGACCTCTCCCGAAAGCAGAAATTCGCGTAATATATTCCATTAATTATTAAATATTTCCTATATTAACATACCAATCGCGTACTTTTGAATATAAACAAGGCAAACGAAGACTGTATTATAAATAGCATAATACCGTAAATAATCAACCATCTTTAAATATGTAAATATAGTTTATCGGACCATCCGTAATGCAATCGTCGTGAACGTGTTAACAAAAGGTCCTTATTAATTATTCAAATATTTTTCATTTTTGATTTAGCCTCTTCTTTTTGGTTCTGGATCAGCTATCGTCAGAGCTACCATCATTACCCTGGCGTTTTGGAACTATGTTGCAAAGTGATTAGCATAAATTATACAAGGACAGGATGTGTTATAAGGGAGCGAGAAATCCGGACAAAGTGTTTAGTGCAAAACGAAGAAAGGAATTACAGTAACGCTTTTCCAGAACGATAATGAGAATTACTGATCGAGATCTACGATACTTTATGCACCTTAAAATTGGCGTGGATTTATCTATAAATTAAAAATTACTTCACGTATTTTCCTTTTTTTCCGATTACCAATAGCGTAAACTTCAAACCGCGTGTGGCAAGTCCGCGTATGGCGGAGTTCTACTGTGTAATTGTTTATTAAATTAATATCATTTCAATTTGTAATATAAGACTATTTAATAAATTTATTTTATTAATGTTAATGTGCAAGAAATAGAATATACAATTCTTAAATTTTTAATAATAAATTTATTAATTTAGTTTATTTAGTTTGACTCATTTTAAAAACAATCAGATGTGCTATTAAGTTTACTTCCGAACATTCCAAAGGTTGTGCTAAAGTTTTCGATTTTATGTTTTTCAAAACAGAAGTTATAAAAACAGATAAAATTGTTTTATCTCGCATCCTTGACAATCCTCTTAAATTATTTTTAGATTATTTGTTTTTGATTCTGACAACTTTTGTTACTTGTTTTGTCTACCATTATTTTTATTAAAATTATTTCTATATTCTCAATTATTATTATTATTGAAATTATTTCATAATATATCTCCTTATAGTTAATGGCTTTAGAAAGAATGGTTTTAAATTTTGTACTAACTGTAATCATTTGCACCAAATCATAAATAATTTTGTATTAATACTTTTAAATTCGTCGATATTTAGAGAAATTGAATTTTCTTTCTCACTCTTTGATACGTTTCTCTAAGAATTCGATTGCAGACATGTAAGTTAAGATTTTGATACAAAACACTAGTAATAATAGATAATAGATTAAACAGCTATTTCAATTTTTTTTATATTATTATTATTAGAGGCAGAATGCAAACTACTAAATAACGTCTAAGAATTCTGTTGCACATATGCGCAAGTACTGTACGAGAGTTGATTTATTTGCTGTGATTATAGTGTCGTAACTTACTAATTTTAAAATAAAACGAACGCATGATGATCACAATCCTTCGATGTATTCTCCACCTTTGTGCGCAATTCGCTGTCAAACTACTGGGAGGCGACGAATACCGTCAGCAGCGTCAATTTTAGCCAGTATCTGGAGATGTTGCCTCTAAAAAGTTCTTTCACTTTCGGTAAAAGTCTACACGTGGACTCGTATTAGGTGAGTATGATAAATGTTTTAGTATCTCCACTGTCATCTGGTAAAGAGAATTGGATGTTATTGCACTATTGCAGTCTCTATGGCCTTTTGCGATAAATTGTTGAACGAAAATAATGTTCAAGAAAGTTGTAGTAAAATGTAATGTTAATTGTCTATCTTTGCAATACGCAACGAGACAAGAAAACTCTTTGGAGGTCGTATGCGATGATAACATTTTCAATTTAGTCAATTCTTACCGCAGTTTCTTGGTGCATGGGAATGAGTGGCGAACGCATTCGTTCGATTAATTTTTTAGCTCCGATTCGCAGGACTTGGTCCAAGTTTCATCAATTGTAATAATCCAATAAAGGAAAAAAATCTTTCTTCACACTACAATTTAGATAAACTCAAGTAGTTTCCATTATTTGTCACTTCTGCACATCATTCAGAGCATGAATCATCTTATAGCAGTTTTGCACATTCCCAGCTTCTACGTCAAGATGTGGTAAACACTGGAAACTGTAATGACTACTTTGTCGTTCATTCCTTAGCAAGTCTAACGACATTTATTTTCCAATAATCTCAAAACTGCTTTTACATGTTGTTTGTCTGTTGCAGTGATTGGATGGCTGCCCGACATGCATAATCTCTGTGTTCTTCCGTCCACGGCACCGTACGATATGACAGAGCAGCATCGCCACATGCATCACGCAATCTTTATATGACACTGCTACACATTTCATCCATGTGCATCTTGAATTTTGATAAAACATCAATGTTTTTGGCAAGTAAACATTGCTTATTACAATAAAACAAACACTAAAATCTTTGAACTTTTCCTATTTCTCAAACACAAACATAATCCAAACAAAATGCATAACACATACATGAAAAGTCCAGAAAAATATTTAATGGGCATTTGGGATTTTTTGTTTCAATGTAAAGTCTATTGATTGTACACGTATATACATGAGGACTTATCACATCGGTAAACAGGTTACATTACAAAATCTTTAATAATAATTTTTTACAATCAATTTTTTTACATTTTATGACAATATATAACACACCGGACACTTAAAATGCATTTCGGATTATATAAGAGAAGCATATAGTCCGAAATGCATTTTAAGTGTTCAGTGTGTTATATATTGTCATAAAATGTAAAAAAATTGATTGTAAAAAATTATTATTAAAGATTTTGTAATGTAACCTGTTTACCGGTGTGATAAGCCCTCATGTATATACGTGTATAATTAATACGGACTTTGTATAAAACATCATTAAGGACTAAAAGCGATAGATTATTCAACTGAATTTTGGCAATTTGCTAGATTATGAGCAATTTTTAATGATTTACCAGTTTGAAAAAATACTCCTATATTTATGTGATGTTTCATTGTTCTGAAATATTTCAAATTCTAAGAAAATTGTAAGTTATATTCAATACAGTATTATATACAGGTCAGAATTTTTACAAGAAACAATAAAATACTTATTGTGACAATAGCTGAAACTTTCTTTCGGGTAATGTATGATTAAATCTGTTTCTCCACATTACGCTACTTATAAAAATGTTGATCAGTAATGGGCTCAGCCAGCATGTATAAAAAATCCATCAGCAACGAGTTGCTTAACAACATTTAAAATTGCGTGTGGTGACAAATTAATCATAAAAAACTTTTTATGATTAATTTTATTTAAAAACTTTTAATTATATTAATTATTACGAAATGACAAAAAGTTTAATTTCGACGGTAGGGATGAGTTTTATTAAAAATTGTAAATGCTAATAATAAGTAAAATTTCCATTAAATACTCGATATATGGCAGACGATCCTTCTCTATTTCCACACCCTCTCGATTTTTACCACAAAAATCTCATAGCATCAATCCCCTAATTCACAAAATTTCAGAAATTTGTCCAGTAGTTTTACTATTACAATTGAATGCCTTCAAATTAAAAATTTTATATTTAACATCGAAAAGAAATGGCACACTGATATACATAGAGTTATATTATCTCTTTATAATATATTTTGTATCGCGGAAATATTAATTGATATATAAAAAAATCTATCAAGGTTCATATTAATATTAATTATATAGTTCATATGTAGCAATTTTGTAACATTAATTAAATAATATAACTATATTAAAAATTAACCAAAACATTGCAAACTATGTTTCGCTATATCTGCCTAAAATAATTTTCAGGTAACTGATTATAAGAATTTATTCCGTGGAATATTTTTACTAATGCATTTAATAACCTAATTCGACTTTTAAAAAAGAAAATTATGAGTATATAGAACGATACAATGGGCACACGTGTTGTCTGGTAAAACGAATGAAACGGACTATGTCATTGGATTGTTTATCCAGTTGTATTGAAGCCGCTTTATCAGGCAATGCGCCAAATTATATGATAACATTCTCTCTATGTTCAGGTTTATAAGAATGCAGTATTTCTAATAACTTCAAATAATTTCTTTATAACGTTTATAATCTATGATCTGTATACTAACTGTAATCATTTGCACCAAATCATAAATAATTTTGTATTAATACTTTTAAATTCGTCGATATTTAGAGAAATTGAATTTTCTTTCTCACTCTTTGATACGTTTCTCTAAGAATTCGATTGCAGACATGTAAGTTAAGATTTTGATACAAAACACTAGTAATAATAGATAATAGATTAAACAGCTATTTCAATTTTTTTTATATTATTATTATTAGAGGCAGAATGCAAACTACTAAATAACGTCTAAGAATTCTGTTGCACATATGCGCAAGTACTGTACGAGAGTTGATTTATTTGCTGTGATTATAGTGTCGTAACTTACTAATTTTAAAATAAAACGAACGCATGATGATCACAATCCTTCGATGTATTCTCCACCTTTGTGCGCAATTCGCTGTCAAACTACTGGGAGGCGACGAATACCGTCAGCAGCGTCAATTTTAGCCAGTATCTGGAGATGTTGCCTCTAAAAAGTTCTTTCACTTTCGGTAAAAGTCTACACGTGGACTCGTATTAGGTGAGTATGATAAATGTTTTAGTATCTCCACTGTCATCTGGTAAAGAGAATTGGATGTTATTGCACTATTGCAGTCTCTATGGCCTTTTGCGATAAATTGTTGAACGAAAATAATGTTCAAGAAAGTTGTAGTAAAATGTAATGTTAATTGTCTATCTTTGCAATACGCAACGAGACAAGAAAACTCTTTGGAGGTCGTATGCGATGATAACATTTTCAATTTAGTCAATTCTTACCGCAGTTTCTTGGTGCATGGGAATGAGTGGCGAACGCATTCGTTCGATTAATTTTTTAGCTCCGATTCGCAGGACTTGGTCCAAGTTTCATCAATTGTAATAATCCAATAAAGGAAAAAAATCTTTCTTCACACTACAATTTAGATAAACTCAAGTAGTTTCCATTATTTGTCACTTCTGCACATCATTCAGAGCATGAATCATCTTATAGCAGTTTTGCACATTCCCAGCTTCTACGTCAAGATGTGGTAAACACTGGAAACTGTAATGACTACTTTGTCGTTCATTCCTTAGCAAGTCTAACGACATTTATTTTCCAATAATCTCAAAACTGCTTTTACATGTTGTTTGTCTGTTGCAGTGATTGGATGGCTGCCCGACATGCATAATCTCTGTGTTCTTCCGTCCACGGCACCGTACGATATGACAGAGCAGCATCGCCACATGCATCACGCAATCTTTATATGACACTGCTACACATTTCATCCATGTGCATCTTGAATTTTGATAAAACATCAATGTTTTTGGCAAGTAAACATTGCTTATTACAATAAAACAAACACTAAAATCTTTGAACTTTTCCTATTTCTCAAACACAAACATAATCCAAACAAAATGCATAACACATACATGAAAAGTCCAGAAAAATATTTAATGGGCATTTGGGATTTTTTGTTTCAATGTAAAGTCTATTGATTGTACACGTATATACATGAGGACTTATCACATCGGTAAACAGGTTACATTACAAAATCTTTAATAATAATTTTTTACAATCAATTTTTTTACATTTTATGACAATATATAACACACCGGACACTTAAAATGCATTTCGGATTATATAAGAGAAGCATATAGTCCGAAATGCATTTTAAGTGTTCAGTGTGTTATATATTGTCATAAAATGTAAAAAAATTGATTGTAAAAAATTATTATTAAAGATTTTGTAATGTAACCTGTTTACCGATGTGATAAGTCCTCATGTATATACGTGTACAATCAATAGACNAAACCAAATAAAATTACAAAGCATAAACATGTGAATTTTCATTCTTTTGCCTCTATGTCCTTACCGCATTAAACTTTTTATTATATCATTGTCTATGTTGGATTTAGTACATTAATAAAACTTATTATACTAGTGTTGTTTCAGTAATTTTCACTAATTATAAATTTATTTTATTTACGTTATAATTATTTATATTAGTTTATTAGTTTATTAATATTTAATATAAAAGTCTTATATTCGTATAAATGAATTTAAAAATTAATTAACAAGTTAATAATTAATTAACTAAATTTAAATTAATTAATTAAATATTAATTAATGAAGTTTTAATAAAAAGCATATAGGCTTTATGAGTGGCCTCACATTCCTACTTTCATGTGATTATAAACATGCATCACGTTTATACTTACATCCATATTTATTAACAGAAATCTAAGCGTGTGATTAAGAAAGTAGTCTAATTCAAAATTAGGAAAAATATGAATTAATTTCACAAACTACAGTATTGTAAAATTTTCTAATTACATAAAAAAAGAAAAAAACTATTTCTGAAAAATAAATATATTTGTATTTTCTTTTTATAATCATAAAAAATATTTTAACTTTTACAAACTAAAAGTGAAAATATTTCAGTTACACCATTTTGATAATCATGAATCTTACTAATTTAGTACCTGTTACAACCAAAATGGTCAATAGAGCTAAAAGCATTAAAATATTATTTGACGTTTTACCTCCAAGAAAAATTAACGTTTTTAATCGATAAGAAATATATTTTGATATCGCAGCTTTTTTTATTTAAATTGAATGCATTAAAACCAAAAAGTTGAAAATTGTTTTAAATATATTTAAATATTACACGACCACCGATTGAGATCTTATGACTCTCAGTAACGGCTAACTCAATGCATTGAAAAGCAATGTTCTAAACAACACTTATCTCAGAGATTTTTACAATATATTACAAAATTTCAGATAAACTGTATCCAGATAAATAAATATTTTAAGACTATAATCAACTTGTGATAATAGTTTTAATAAAATTGGCAACAGCTCTTGCTCGACCTTCCCGGCACTGTAACAAGTAGTTAAAGAGACCTTAGGGAAGTCTAATTTTCAGTCATTCTATGATACAAAATTTAAGTAATAAAAGAAGCTTAAAAGAAGTAATTTTGATGAATTATGATAAAAATCTCTATTTAAAAATATTTAAGTTTAAAAAACAATATGATACTAACTCGAAACGTAAAATTGTGTGCGGCATCATCTTTTATAAAAATGTTATTTAAAATAACTTTTATATTATTAATTATCATAAAAAATCAAAACAGAGTTAATTTTAAGGGTAGAATGAGTTTCTATTAATATTGTAAATGCCAATAACGAAGAAAATTTTTTGTTAAGTCCGACCTCATTCGAGATATAACACATAACCTATCTTAATACCCTAGAAGTTCGAGTTCGCTACTTCGAAATTTAATAGCAGTAAATCCCCTAATACACAAGTTACCTTGCCAAATATTTTTTTTATAATCTTATCCCCATCCTGAGAAATTAAATGAAATAGATGTCAACACATAAACATAAACATAACAGAATACTTATAAATTAGCCTGAATTATACGACGCTCCACGTACAATTATTGCTCGCCTTTTCAACCCCCATTTTAGCGGCAAAACTGGAACTCTGCATCATCTTACTGCCCAATCATGACACCATCGACCTCTTGTTGTTCCTTTCTTCTGGGCATATGAGCACTGGCGTGACTCAACTACTCGTCTCCATGAGTAGTTCCACATTCAATTAGTATTAATTTTCTCATTACGGCCCATAGAATGAAATGATTTGGATATTGTATTATCATATTAAACACTACCCTTCTTCCAAATTTCATCAAAATCGTGGGGACTCTTTGTGAGAGGGTCTTTTTAGGTTCGAAAAATTTTTGACGTTTTTCGATCCGTCCAGCCACGTCCCTCGCCATCCAGCCGCCCCATTGTGGGCCTAACCAAACTCATAATGGGCTTGCTAAAAGAGGCCCCTTTAGTGCCTTCAGGACGAAAAGAGTTTAAAAAAAAGAGAGATCGTTGGATGATAATTTATTAACATCCTAAAAATTCGGTTGGTGTATTAAGCAAAATATTTTAAAAATTAATGGAAATATTTTACTAATATGATTATTATTAATTATAAATATGAATAAACGACATTATTTTTATAATAATTAAATTTTGGCTATTTTCAACGAGTCAAATGACAGCATAGCAACCGGTTGTTTACTTTTTTGCTCTCTCCAAATTCAATTAAGATGTAAACACAAGAAAAATATTCAAATTTTCGTAAAATTTGCCAGGTAATTTTTACTAATTACATCTTATAATTATTAATTATTCTAAAATCAATTTTAAAATAGGCTTTAAACACGTGTTTTTAAAATAATAAAACTAATTTTTTAATCTCTAAATGATTTATTGGATAATGTAAATATACATAATTAATCTGTTAATAAGAAATTAATTATGTATAAAAACAACTAATTATTTTTTCATTTTAAATAAGCATGAAATTTATCATTTATAATACATAAGTCATTAAAACATTTTGAAATATGGAGGAAAGAGAAAAAATTTAAATATTTAAAATTGACAGGTCTATTGTATATTACAATGTTAGTGTTAAATTAGTATTGATTTTTTAACTATATTGTTTATCTACAAATAAACATATATTGCAAATGGACATCTTTCTTTTCATATATAAAAATATTTACTGTTGTTTTATTTTTTTTTTTAACTAAAACTTTTAACAAAAATAAACATAATCAAAATTTACTTGATAATTTATTGCATACTTCGTTTATACCTATCATTTTGAATGCCTATTTGATTCACTTCAGAAGCGTGTAATATTACTTTTATTTTTAAATTCTGTTTAAACATTGATTTTGTTTTTTATTATAGAGCCGTAACAAAGTTTAATAGAAGATTCTTCATACAATTTGTTAAGGTAATAAAATTTTAAATCTCAAGTGAATATTTATGAAAATAACAGTCATTATTAATAACTAACATGTGCATATTTATTATTGTTTTGAAACAACTGTATATTCTACTTTGTAAGAATTTATAGTTTTAGTTATGTTATGCTGTCCATTAATTACATGTACAGTTTTTAAGCCACTTTTGATTCCCCCTTTATTCCTAATTGTATAAATAATAATGTTTAGTATTATTATTTTAGTACTAGGTATGAAAGTTTATACATTATCCATAGAAGGAAAGGTAAAAATACATTAATGAACCATACAATTTTTGAGCCACTTTTGATCCTCTCTGTTGTATACATTGATGTTCTTTTGGCATACTCCTCCCCTTTAATTTAGTGTATGATAGTTTATGGACTTCCTTGATGTTGAAAAAAATGAATTTAAAAAGTACTGCAAATGTTTTCTTACTGATAGTTTATTCACATAAATAGTAAGTAAGCTTATAAGAACAAATTGATNGTGTAAAGATTAACCAACATTAAATTCTTTTCTTTTTTTAAAAAATTTTTTTGTAAATTGATTTTTTGTTGTTTAAATTTTGTGTAGAATTACACTGAAGAGGGGCTCATACAAGCCTGAAATGCATATGTAATTTACAATAAAGGAATACTTAACCTCAGAGCTGAAAGAAAGTCTACCGTTTGTTAACCATTCGGATTGAAGAGACATATAATAAATATGAATAAAATACTTTCCAGTGCAATAAATAACAGCCTGGAAAGTAAAATTTGAAAGATGAAAGATTTTAAAATATTGATGTGTTTTTAAGGATATTGATATAGTTATTAATATAATGTGACTAATGCAAAAATTATTTGTGATACTTAAAAATTTAACGACGATTGATATTAAACCACTTTCTCTTCGATAGCAATTGTTTTGCTATTTTAATGAGTGATACAATAACTCGGCGTGGATAACAAACATGCCATATATAATATATCAATAAAAAAGCACACATTTTACAAGAAAACTTAGTAAATTTACTACGCTTGAGTAAAAATTTACATAAACATAACAGAATACTTATAAATTAGCCTGAATTATACGACGCTCCACGTACAATTATTGCTCGCCTTTTCAATCCCCATTTTAGCGGAAAAACTGTAACTCTGCATCATCTTATTGCCCAATCATGACACCATCGACCTCTTGTTGTTCCTTTCTTCTGGGCATATGAGCACTGGCGTGACTAAACTACTCGTCTCCGTGAGTAGTTCCACATTCAATTAGTATTAATTTTCTCATTACGGCCCATAGAATGAAATGATTTGGATATTGTATTATCATATTAAACACTACCCTTCTTCCAAATTTCATCAAAATCGTGGGGACTCTTTGTGAGAGGGTCTTTTTAGGTTCGAAAAATTTTTGACGTTTTTCGATCCGTCCAGCCACGTCCCTCGCCATCCAGCCGCCCCATTGTGGGCCTAACCAAACTCATAATGGGCTTGCTAAAAGAGGCCCCTTTAGTGCCTTCAGGACGAAAAGAGTTTAAAAAAAAGAGAGATCGTTGGATGATAATTTATTAACATCCTAAAAATTCGGTTGGTGTATTAAGCAAAATATTTTAAAAATTAATGGAAATATTTTACTAATATGATTATTATTAATTATAAATATGAATAAACGACATTATTTTTATAATAATTAAATTTTGGCTATTTTCAACGAGTCAAATGACAGCATAGCAACCGGTTGTTTACTTTTTTGCTCTCTCCAAATTCAATTAAGATGTAAACACAAGAAAAATATTCAAATTTTCGTAAAATTTGCCAGGTAATTTTTACTAATTACATCTTATAATTATTAATTATTCTAAAATCAATTTTAAAATAGGCTTTAAACACGTGTTTTTAAAATAATAAAACTAATTTTTTAATCTCTAAATGATTTATTGGATAATGTAAATATACATAATTAATCTGTTAATAAGAAATTAATTATGTATAAAAACAACTAATTATTTTTTCATTTTAAATAAGCATGAAATTTATCATTTATAATACATAAGTCATTAAAACATTTTGAAATATGGAGGAAAGAGAAAAAATTTAAATATTTAAAATTGACAGGTCTATTGTATATTACAATGTTAGTGTTAAATTAGTATTGATTTTTTAACTATATTGTTTATCTACAAATAAACATATATTGCAAATGGACATCTTTCTTTTCATATATAAAAATATTTACTGTTGTTTTATTTTTTTTTTTAACTAAAACTTTTAACAAAAATAAACATAATCAAAATTTACTTGATAATTTATTGCATACTTCGTTTATACCTATCATTTTGAATGCCTATTTGATTCACTTCAGAAGCGTGTAATATTACTTTTATTTTTAAATTCTGTTTAAACATTGATTTTGTTTTTTATTATAGAGCCGTAACAAAGTTTAATAGAAGATTCTTCATACAATTTGTTAAGGTAATAAAATTTTAAATCTCAAGTGAATATTTATGAAAATAACAGTCATTATTAATAACTAACATGTGCATATTTATTATTGTTTTGAAACAACTGTATATTCTACTTTGTAAGAATTTATAGTTTTAGTTATGTTATGCTGTCCATTAATTACATGTACAGTTTTTAAGCCACTTTTGATTCCCCCTTTATTCCTAATTGTATAAATAATAATGTTTAGTATTATTATTTTAGTACTAGGTATGAAAGTTTATACATTATCCATAGAAGGAAAGGTAAAAATACATTAATGAACCATACAATTTTTGAGCCACTTTTGATCCTCTCTGTTGTATACATTGATGTTCTTTTGGCATACTCCTCCCCTTTAATTTAGTGTATGATAGTTTATGGACTTCCTTGATGTTGAAAAAAATGAATTTAAAAAGTACTGCAAATGTTTTCTTACTGATAGTTTATTCACATAAATAGTAAGTAAGCTTATAAGAACAAATTGATATTCCACTAATACGACTAAAAACAGTCCGTGTATAAACAATGCCTTGATTATCTCAATCATTGCCATGTCCTTTCCTGTCAAACTGGACAGCGTCTTATTGACAAATATAATATATTTTGTTCATAAAGTTAGAAATTGTTCATACAGGTAGAAATTGCTTATTGTAATCACAGATTATCAGAATTAGCATGCTTAAAACATGATTTAAAATACACATAAAACTTCACTTATTCTAATCAGAATTTGGTTATACAGGTATACCTCGCCTTACGTCGGTAATTGGTTCCAGGAAAACGACTTAAGTCGAATTTACTTGTCTCCAAATCTACTTGTCACTAGGCTAAACCATAAATTACTATTCCCAGTTCTGTATTTTATTTATTAATGCATTTTTAATAATATATGGTTAATAAGAATCTATTTTAAGCTTACAAACAAATAAATTTTAGTTTTTAGAGTATAGAAAAAAGTAATCTAAATTTACGAATGCATGTACTGTACTGTAAATACAGTACATACTTGTAAATGTACATATTTTAATATGATTTTATGTGCTTTAAACGCTTTTCTAGTGATATTACGACTTCAATATTTGTGGCGGACGGACGTAAAGTCGAATAAAATGACTTAAACTTGATTTTTATTTTTCTGTATATTTTTTTTACAAACGACGTATAATCGGGAACGACATAACTCGAAACGACGTAAGTCGAGGTATACCTGTACTTTAGTTATCATCTTTGACATAGGTAATATCTTAAATAGACATTTTTCAGGTAATTTTTCATTTTTTCCTTAAAGATAAAAATGTGAATGAATCTTAACCAGTGCTTTAATTAATTGGTGATCATTATTTGTTCACAATACAGTACTTTAAGTTGCTGATATCTCTTACTTCAATTAAACACTAGCTGTTAAAACAGTATTACAAAAACTAGAAGGAAAACAATAATGGATTAATTACTATTAATTAATATTAACAGTTTAAATTAATAAATCTTTCTTATACATTTTTATCAATGTTTTATAATTAATTTCACATCTTCCTTATGTCTTCTAGTAATACTTTATTAAAAACATGTTTCAGCCTAATTTATGAGTCTGCTTCAGGTTCTACACATTCTAATAGAACAGTATACTGATTAAAAATATTGATAAATTGAAAAGTTTATCAATATTTTAGCATATCTTTTTAATATCAGAAAAACTTAATACATAAAATGTGAATTTGCACTAATTTCAGTCTTTCTGTACTTGCCCCTCTTAATGTTATAATGATAACAATAATTAAATAATAAAGTGATTATAATAGCAGATTGTACTGTGTATAGCATTCTCAAATATTAACATAAAAATAAAATATTAAAAACAAGCTTATCATACATAAATTTGAGAAAGGATTCAATATAAAAAACTTCGGTTCTTGAATTTATTTATTAAATTTATTATAGTCTTTCTTAAAACTTTTATGTATGACAGCTGTAATTACTAATAATTAATGTGTGGTATTTAACAATATTCCTAATACATACACTTTATGCTTTTATTATTAACTAATCACATAAAACTGAATGTTAATTAGTTTATAAATTTTAAACATAATAAGCATTACAACAATTAACAATCAAAAAATTTTAAATGTTTTTGTCATCTGTGGTATCACTAACATATTTATTACAGCATGAATTAGGTTTAAAGTGTGGCTGTGGTTGTTTGTTAATAAAAAATTCTCTCAGCAAATGCTTAGGTGGTGTTGTTAAGTTTGTAAGCATGAATTATTTTGAAATTAAACTAAAATTTTCTAAAAATGACAGTTAATGAAATAACTTTAAAACACTTTGAATTAATAATCAAAATATAAATACTTTATAATTAAATTAAATGTTTGTTCATAATTTTAATTTCATTGCTTAAAGAAAATTGAAGATAAGAAAACAAATACTTATTCTGGTGTTTCATCATAATTGTAAAATCATCATCATTTTTCTATTACTGACCAGAATTCTATTTGACAATTTTATTAAGAAATTGTTAATTTTTAGATGATGATAAATATTACAAATATAATATTTGAATAAGGTATGCTGTACTTTGTAGAAAATTCAAAACTGTAATGTAGTTGTCAACATTGAAATGATGTATATTACTGTATGAATCTAAAAATTTTTCAATTACCATATTTAATATAGACTAAATTATATTCGTTTTTGTTTTTTCCATATTTATTTAAAATTATTATTTTTACTATTTAGTTACTTTAATATATGATGTTATAGAACTATACAAATAAATTAGGAAAATATCTAAATTAAGGAAAGTAATTTTTCTTTAGATTTCATTATATATTGTATTTCATATTATGATATGATATATTAAAATATTATATAATTAAATATAATTTATAAAATAGACTAATAACATTAACAAATATGGGGTAGAGTCAAAAATAAATCAAACATATAAGTTTTATATTTTAATAGTGCAAGTATTTACAAAAGACCACCTGCAGAATAAACATGTTCTGTAGTTACACTCTTCTAGCTCATTCTTCATTACCTCTTTGAGTGCATTTATCTCTTCTGCTGATTTCAATTTGCAACCCTTCACTAGCGCTTTCATTTTAGAGATATCAAAATTTATGAGAGAAAGTGGTCCTGTGAGTTAGGAAGCTGTGGAAGTAAGGTATTTTACAGTTATTCACTAGAGAATGCTCAATGTTCTGGATCAATACTTTATTGCGATAATGAACCCAGCTTTTTACTTGTCAGAGATGAAACTGTTTTCATCTTGCTGCATCATGGAAACAACTGAAAATTTTAATGTAGGATCCGTTGTTAATAATTTTATCATTGGGAACAGTCCTGTAATACACCAGGATGTTCACATTAAAACATGCCACAAGTGTTATCATCTCAGATCTGTCAAGACAAAACTTTTTTGCCTTGGTAAAGGGGCTGCTTTCTTCTATGTTTTTATACACAAAATTTTAAATATATATTATACATCTTTAACTTCAACTTTCAACTTGCAGTTTCTTCAAATATAAATTGTTAATTTTCATTTCAGATAAATATGTTTATGAAAAATATATATGTAATATAGCTACTGCTTACAGTATGATCACATTAATTGAAAACTCTCCATATTTTCAGAAAGAATAATACCAATAATTGGAAAACCCCATAATTGAATAATATAACATAGTTACAGTTTATACTATGACATTATCAGAAGAAAAGATACAATGCTAAATGTCACTTTACAAAATTACAATGTTTTTAAGAATATATAATGCGCAATTATTTATTATGACATTGTCACAATGCCAGGCTGCAATTTTTCATCACAGTATTCTTAATTTTTTAGTAGTGTCTTTCTCCTGTACATGATGCTTTTCCAGTTAGCAATATGTGCCAGTCATCTATCTAACTCTATTCAGGAGAAAATTTTTGAATTGAAATAAAGTACTACTAGACTACATATGAACTTCTGGTACAAACTGGAAGTTTTTATATAGTTAATCTGGACCTCCAATCCCTAAGCTTTCATTATCTGTCTCAACTTTCATTTATCTAACTGTTCTTGAAATTGAGGAAAGACAGACTGTCAGATGGACAACAGTAGGAATTTATAGGTCTACAATTTTTTAAATTGCAGTCAAATAATATTATAAGAATATATTATTGGTATTATAATGCATAATCAGAACTTTTCCTTATTAAATTTGGAGTGCACTAAACAATAATTTGGTATCTTCACATAAAAAAATAAAATAAAATTATAATTGTTAAGAAAAACATGTTTTTTTATTGAAATAAGCAATACATATCAGGAATAAAACTGAATTTTATAAAACTAAAATATATGAAAAGTGATATATTTCAGTTTTATGAAAATCAAAAAATTTTTCTGATTCTCATAATATTGTTCTGTTATAAAACTTCTATATATGATACCAGTTAAAATATAGTTTATAAATATCTTAGCAGTCAAATTTTTACTACTCCCTATAAATATATGAAGAGTGTTGAGATTACAGGTTAACTATTAATGCCTCTGCTTGCTTTATCATGCAGATTTTTACTCTTGACAGTGGCATAGTCATAGTAGGTCTGTGATGTCAAAAACCACCCTAAATAATTCGAGCAATAGAATATTAATATAAAAATTTAATAAACTTAATAAGTATCATATATATATTTACAAATTAATTCTAATCAATTGTATTTGTGTGCCAAATTTATTTCAAAGTGAAGTATTACTATATCCAAAAGTTTAAATATTAAATATAAATATTTTTCAAGAGACTCAAATACTTGAACCTCTGTCCCTTTCTAATGTAAATTCTGGCTACCACTAGCTGATTAGAGTCAATGCCTTTTATACTTGTAGATCTGTAACAAGCATATGCAATCAGCATACATTTTATTATACATAATGTACATTTTGCCTGTGATGAATGATACTACCATGCAAAAATAGAGTAAGTTGTGTTATGATGATGATAACTATATTTTGATACAAAATATACAAATCCTTTAGATGGTTCAAGTGACTTTAGAACCTTGATGCATACATGATTTACATGTGCTACATTTGATTTCAGGTAGTTTGTTTAAGCAGTGATGAAGTATTAGTATGTTTTTTCTTAAGCAAAAACTCAAATATTAGGTTTTTCTAATCAATAAAAAAATTTGCTTTTTAGAATAAGAATTGTTTTCATACAGAATTTAAAAATATATTGATTTAAATATTTTTATTACAATGTTATTATTATTATTACATATTTTTCTAGGAATTGAAAACACGGGATTTTAAGATAGAAGAGATGTATTTCGCAAAAGAACTGCTATCAAGAACTCAAGCCATCACGTAATCTGTAACAGCAAGCAGTAAAGAGGAAATTATTTATTAACGTATAAAATTTTAATTTCAGATAATTTAAAAAATTTTTATATGTAAATAAAATTATTATTTCTGTTGCAGTTAAAAGAAGAAATGTGAATCATCTAAAGAGAAAAACAGAATAAAGAACTGAAAATTTAAATTTATGTATTAAGCATCAAAATCATTTAATTATCAACAATAATTATTTTTGTTTCAAAGTTTCTGAAAATATATAAATTATTTTCATAGCATATTCAACTTTAAAATTTCGGTAATTCTTTGTTATTTATAGGTTGTTTTAAGCTGAAATAAAAAACTTACATATAACAGTTTCAAAAGGAATATAAAGAAGAACTTACTGACTAGTAAAGAAGAGTTAGCATATTATAGATCATGTTGTAAATTCTTATTCTGATTGATAAATTCTTTAATGAGAAATCTGTGAATACTAAAAGTGATATATAATTAATATTATTTAATGAAGCTATATGCATAAAATATTTTTTTAAATACAAAATACTCATAATTATTTTCACAACTACATAGAATAATAGTTTTCAACATTCTTTTTTATAAATTTCCAAAAGTGATTACATTTTTTTATTATTGAATTACCATTCCATATATATACATATAGAATATAATTTTAGAATATAAATTTATTTGTATATATATATTAGTAATGTAAAATACATCTTTATTGATATTGTAAATGATTCAAACTTTCTGTGTATATAATTTTTACTGAAATTCTTTTGAAATTAATAGTTAGTTTTATTTTCATAGATGAAGGAATTGAACTAATAGGAAAGAGATTCATGTGTGGAATTTGTAAGAAGACATTTACGCAAGGTGGTAGTTTGAAGAGACATTTACGAACTCATACAGGAGAGAAACCATTTTCATGTGATATTTGCAAACAAAGATTTAGCCAAAAAACTAGTCTAAAAAAACATTTTCGCATTCATACTGGTGAGAAACCATTTTCCTGTGATATCTGTGAACTAAAATTTGGTCAGAAAATAAGTTTAAAAAATCACTTAAGAACTCATACAGGTGAAAGACCTTTTCAATGTGAAGTATGCAAAGAGAGTTTTGCCTTAAAGCAGACTCTAAATTCTCATATCCGAATCCACACGGGAGAAAAACCTTTTTCTTGCACAATTTGTAAAAAAAGGTTTGCTTACAGAAATAATTTAAATTACCATTTGGGTACTCACACTAATAAGAATCCTTTTATATAGACATTTGCACTTAAACCATTTGTACAGTACATGCCAAAGTTTGTTGCCATAAGAAACTCTTATACCAAAAAATTTTAACAAAATAGTCATTATATTTATTAAATATATATTATATATGTTATATATTTTAAATTATAATTAATTTATTTGTTTTTGTTTNTTGTTTTTGTTTAAGTTTATAAATATATTTTATTTAAATTGTTGATTTTATATTTAAATAGAAAGTAAATTATAACAAATGTTATTTATTATAAAAAGAAAAGTAATATTTGTATTTTATTTTAATATTTATTATTTATCAAAGTTAAATAATTTTATTTATATATTTGTTTTTTATTGTTATAAAATATATTTTTAAAATACTTTTTATTATCAAATTTAATTTAATTTAATATAAAAATTGTTATTTGAGAATTTTCATGAGATGAATTTTCCAATGATAAAAGTTTACAACCTTTCTACAGTTTAAATAAAAATATGCAGAACAAATTTTTCTACCTATCTTAATTTGAGTTTCCTATAAAAAGTAATTAGTCCAAAACTTAACTTTTTGCTTGTTTTTTTGACAGTTTGATAAATAGATGGAATATTAATTAATTATATATTATATTTCAATTTTACCATTATATTTATAGCAGTAATTAATTTTTTTAGAAACTCAAACAATTTCTTATATTGTAGAAGTAAGTATAATAACATAATAAATTTAAATTTGTTTTCATTTAAACTTTTAGGTATGATGAGGTAAAAAATTGTCAAATGAGTTATTGGCATAATAATTTGTAAAAGTCAAAGTAACCTGAAGATACAATACTTATTTGTTGATAATTTTTACACAATACACAAGGGGAAAATCAGGAATTTGCTAGCTAGACTTGCTTAAGAATTGCATTTAAGAATTCAAAATCATCAATAGCTAGAGATAAAAATAAAGTTATAATCAGTGGTTGAGATGATATTAAAACAAATCAGAAGAAGAAGAAGAAATGATAGTTTTCCACTCCGTAGCTGCTGCACATGCATATGTAAACGTGCAACGCAGTGCTTACTTAATATTGCAAGATTTTTAGCATTAAAAAATTCATGTGCATTGCAAATTTTTAAAAGATTTTCCAGATGCTTTCATTATTATGAGTAGTTTGTGACCTGTATGCAAATACGGACAAGATTAGTAATCTGCATTATCCTATATAGTTACAAGAAACAATTTATCTTTGATTTTATAGAAAATGTTCTTTCAAATTGACAAAAAATATAATATCTAACTAAATAAAAAAAAAAATAATAATAACGTCCGATCACTGGTATTGCTGCTTAAGTAACGGAATTGTTTCAAAATGTTAAAAAGGGGGGATGACATCCTTGTCTACTTTATCTCACTTCAAATACTATTATCTCTCATCATAAATATACACATTAAAAGAAAATGAATAAAGTGGTAAGGAAAAATCCAAATGAACGATGTGTCAACACAACATAGCATTATGAGATAATATATCTGAAGCAGTTATAAAACTCAGCCGTTCTGGGAATCCGAGTTAGTTAGGAAAATTCCACGGGTAAAGTTATTTGAATAGAAGATACTTGGGCTGTAAAACCAGCAATACCTTTCATTGTGCTGCAATTGAAAAAATTGTAGACCTATAAATTCCTACTGTCATCCATCCGTTGTCTTTCCTTAATCTCGAGAACGGAGTTAGATAGATGAAATCTGAGACAAGATATGGAAACCTGAGGGACAGGAGATCCCGATTAACTATATATAAATTTTTAATTTAAACTGGAAATAACGTTATTTCAATTCAAAAATTTTTCTGAAAGCAGTTAATAAATGACCAACACGACTCAGCCAGGAAAATTATGATGTATAGGGACAAGCCACTACTAATTTGAGGTGGAGAGAATATATTTTAAATGAAATAAATTAAAAATATGATTACAAATTGCAATTCGGCATTGTGACGATGTCATAATAAATAAATGCTCGTTTTAGTCGTTAGTAATGTAATTTTACATACTGGTGCCACTAACATATGCATATATCTTCCTTTTGTCATAAATAAATGCATTATGGTTAACTTCACATTGTAATTTTTAATATAGGTAAGTAATAGCCTAAAAGTCGGACGAATTCTCTGGGCTTGCTTAGCGTGCGCCACATGCTTAAGAGAAAGCAGGGCCGTGCGGTAGATTTTCTAAGTATGATGCAAGTCTTCGAAATGCCGCCTCTTATATGTTTTTTGCCGCCCCTTATATAAATTATTAGTCTTATATAGGCTATAATTGTTATTATTTGGTATATCTTACCAGGGCCGTGCGGTAGATTTTCTAAGTATGATGCAAGTCTTTGAAATTCTACCCCTTAAATGTTTTTTATGCCGCCCTCTCACGGTGCCGCCTGATGCGGCCGCATCTCTGCATCATAGCACGGCACGGCCGTGAGAGAAAGTTTTGACTGTCAATATACTTTTTATACAGTATGAGAACAAATATGCCAATAATAATTTATTCTAACGTGTAAACTCTTTTATCATTTGTGTTTCTTTTACGTTGGCAGCTAGCGGCTAGCCGTTTTAAGTCAGTGCGATGTTGCGGGAACTGGATCGCTTGCTCGTGTGGAGATTTGCCCAAGCAAACAAGTGAGCGCACGTGACGTCATTCGAAGCATTTAACACGGCCAGATTGTATAGAAAGCTTGCGGTACCCAGTCAGCATACATGTATTGTGTACAGAGGCGGATCTATGTAGGAACTAATAGGGCTTAAGTCCTGGGCCCCCAGTGTCAGGGCCACAAAAATTGAATTATCATCATAAATTTTTAATACTTTTTCATTATAATATATTTCATGTGTAGATATAATGGGCTTTATAATAATCCATACTTTTTTATTCACACCAAATGCCGTTTCTGCCTATTGTTTAGTGCTAGAGATAGGCCTATGATTCTTATAATTTTCAGCATGCTCAAAAATTTTGGTCAGGATTCGCCCATGCTAAAAGTAATTTGGTAAGCCATTTTAAACTTTTTTTAGTGTAATCTGCGTAAGTGTCGCAGCTTAAAAGAGTGACTTTTGAAGATTATTGAAAAATATAGGGATCAAATTTTCAGCAATTGAATTCTTACCATGCGGTAGAAGAGTAGCGAGTAGCGAGTAGCGAGCGTAGTTTGGGGTAGGTTGTAACAGGTTCATGGCCATTGAGCGGGGAAGGTGGGGATTTTTTTACGGACCTGGAGAAAATGTAGAAGCCTGTAGTTCTCATCCGTGAAAATTAATGTAGTTTCTACTAACGAAAAGCAAAATACTTAAAACTATATTTATAAAGAAACGTTCTACGTATTTCATTTATTCAAAAAAGAGACAAAAGGAGTTCGCTTTATCCCGTACCCCATACAAGCTCTCGACAGACCTGAACATGTTACAACCTTTCCCATTTATAATCATTCAATACAGATGGTGTAGAAATGTAATTATCTTGTTAAATTGCAGATTTGGTGAGTAAGAATATGGTTAACAGATGATTTGAATATTATGCTATTTGAGATCATTTTTGGCTAGAAAGCAAAACGGTACTGAACAGTACCCCGCGTTTTTTTATGCAGCGAGAGTGTAGCGAAATGACGTCACAAGCAGTATTGGCCAATTAGAAACCAGTTTCAGTGTGTTCGCTGTAAAGCGCTTCTCGAGCGCTGCATAAAAAAACGCGAGGGTACCGTTTTGCTTTCTAGCCAACACTGTTCAGTACCGTATCCAGTATAAACGTAAATAATTGTTTTCAATCTAAATTTAGTGTTTTTAGTCTTATTTTCCACCTAAACAACAACACAAATTGCAATCTTGTCTTGTTGTTAATGCCATCTAGCTAGAAATTTCGTTAAGTGAACCGAACAGTTGAAGAGAGCATTAGGTACTATAGGTCCAGTAGTTATCGTAAGCCATGTCTACAGTTGACTGTAGATAATTCAAAGTGGAAGTAGATTCAAGTTTGTGAAACAGTCTTTTTGTTTCAAAAAATATCTTCAACGAACTATCTACATATTCTTGGAAGAAACTATTAGTCTAAATTAATGAATATTAGTAAATCATACAGATTAACTGATTTATCGGCGTGACATGTTAGAATATTAAGGATTTATGTCCAGTCGCAATTTTGTCTATTACGAGCAAATTTGATCCTGTAGGGCAGTGTTTTTCAACCTTTTTTCTCGCCGCGGACCTGTAAAATGGTGGATAATTTTACAGTGGATTGTATTTAATTACAATCCACTATAAAATTATCCACCATTTTACTGTAAAGTTTGCTTTTTTAGAACGTTTATATATATTATATAGATTATTTTACTCTACATTAGATTATTAAATTTCACCCGTAACTCTTCGCCGGAATCAGTAAGATCAAATATTTTTCGCGGACTGGCTGTTGAAAGACGCTTGTAGGTATTATACGCGATCAGTCTGTATAAGTGACAGATGATGAAAAACAACTCTTTCTGTATTATCAACGACAGCTTAAAAAGCCTGGATCGAAGTTAAACCGAAGCACTGCATATTTGATTTGATAGGATAAATAAACACAAGGTCGATCTTCAAAGGAGGATTTTATGAGAAAAACTGCCCCTATTTTTGGTATTACGTATGTGAAAAAAATCCAAAAAACTCCATGTGGTCAGCCCGTTAATCAGGCATAAACCCGGACACAGATAACTAATAATTTTTTTTTTACTCTTTCCGTCCTGTGGGCACTAAGAGGGCATCTTATAGCAGGCCCATTATGGGCCTGGCTGAACCCATAATAGGCCTGCCGAACCCTGGCCCATAATGAGCCAGTTGCTCTCATTGTGGACATTAGCGAGGTTGAGGCCGAAGTTTTAAACGCAAAAACGTGTACTTCGGACGTTCCGCGCTGCCGCTTTCCTGTAAAACTAGAAGTTTGACAATGGTGTTTGGAATGTCGAGCATGATTCCACTGACTATCCAAACACCATTGTCAAACTTCTAGGCTTACAGGAAAGCGGCGCCGAACGTCCGACGTATACGTTTTCGCGTTTAAAACTTCGGCCTCAACCTCGCTATTGATGGTGATGATTAAAACTAAAGATCCTCCTAGTGCCAACAGGGCGGAAAGAGTAAAAAGTAAAGTAATTAATTAACGAGCGATTAATTATTTATTGTGACATCGTCACAATGCCGGGCTGCAGTTTTTAATTATATTTTAAATTTATTTAATTTAGAATATACGCTCTCCATCTTAATTACTAGTGGTTTGCCCCTGTACATCATACTTTTCTTTTAACAGTAGAGTCGTGCCGGTCTTCTATTAACTCCTTTCAGGAAAAGTTTTGAATTGAAATAACATTAAAAAGTATGCGAAACGTTTTTAAAAATAATATCCAAAATTCTCATTATAATTAATCTTATCTTATGTGAAATTTATCATTTAACTTAGTTACTGAAACTTTTTGTTTTTCGTATAAATATAGAAGTTAAATTTAATAAGTGATTAATGTTTCACACAGAATTTAAAATATCAGTTTTATAATTTTTATAGATCTTTTAAAATATTATAAATAATAGTAATGATATTTTAAATGATTAAAATACGCTATTTTTGGCTATTTTTTTCTTCTTAATTCGCTGCAGTCGACTTGTTTACTTTCGTCACTTGAATTTTTATTTCAATTAAAATCAATTCCAATATCGATTCATGCAAAAAGACTTTTCAGGTAATCAGTAACAATATTTAAACCGCATCCTTTTTCAATTTTATTATAAGAAAGATTTTTAGTAACATGTGACTCAGTCAAATTGTTGCAATTGACAAACTTTTAGAGAAAGTGAGTTACGTTTCTGTTTTTATTCAAAATCATTCATTATTATGCTACGCGTGTTATTCTTTGATCGAAAAAATAACAGGAATCTATTTTATTTTACATGGATTTAAGTTAATAAAACTCACATGTTGCAAAAATAGAAATAGATTTATTTGTTTTTTATATATTTCAGGTATTAGTAACGTGTTTATATGTCTAATTTTAAAAACTGTAGAAGCCAATTAGATCGAATAATCTATAGCGATATATTTATTATTGCTCTATTTGAATGTTGAAATTGAAACTTGATTATTAATCAATTTCATTGGAGCATATAAAAATGGTTAAATTTGATAACTTCATTAAACAGAGTTTCTTATTATTTATAAATGTTGTAAGTGTAAGGAAACACACTGTTTAAGGAAAGTAAAATTGGAATTTTGTTAGAAATGTTGATGCTGGCTAAACTATAGCCAAAAACACTTCTAATAAATTTTTTTCTAACAGATTAGAATTATTTATATAAAAACCTTATATGAGAATTGTATATACGCAAAACAACAAGCAAAATCTATTTTTCTTTTAACAATACACAAAATCTTATGATTGGGCTACAATTTGAAAAAATTGTAGACCTATAAATTTCCACTGTCGTTTGTCTGTCCATCTTTCCTTAATCTCGAGAACTGAAACCATATATGGAAAGCTTAGGGGCAGGAGGCCCCGATTAACTATATACAAACTTCTGATGCAAACTGGAAGACACATTATTTCAATTTAAAAATTTTTCCTCAAAAGGAGTTAGATAGATGACTTGCACAACTCCATTGCTAACTCCAATTCCAATTGCTAGTACAACTCCATGTGGAAAAGTATGATGTGCAGGGACAAGACACTACAGTACTAATTTGAGGTGGAGAACATATATTTTAAATTAAAAAATATGATAAAAAATTGCAGCCTGGCATTGTGACCATGTCACAATAAATATTTGTTCATTTTCATTGAATGCTTCTTTTGAACTAATTATGTAAATGAAGCAGATTTATTTAATCTTAAAACCTAATGCAGTTTGATTCCTAAAATAAATGCTATATTTAAGTTTTTATTTTTAAATCATTTATTTTTCTATTTAATTAATTCAATAATCTAAAATATAATTTCTTCTAATCTGGAAAAAGTTTAGTCTATTGCTTTCATTTGTTTATTATATTATCATTCATATTTAATGTGTGTGTTTTTTTACAGGAATTATTTATTTAGTGCATTTATATTTATACATATTAAAAACATGGGAACACAACAATTTTATCTCAAATGGAATAGTCATCAATCAAATATGATAACTGTTCTTGACCAATTGCTTTCAAATGAAGCTTTTGTGGATGTGACGTTAGCTTGTGAAGGTTTGAGTCTAAAAGCTCATAAAATTATCCTTTCAGCGTGTAGTCCATTTTTCAGGAATTTGTTTTTAGAAAATCCATGTAAACATCCAATTGTTATCTTAAAAGATGTAAAATATACAGAGCTAAAAGCTGTTGTGGATTTTATATATAAAGGAGAAATCAGTATTTCTCATGATCAACTATCTGGACTTCTTAAAACAGCAGAAGTGCTTAATATTAAAGGATTGGTGGAGGTTGCAGATGAAAGTAGAAACAGTGGATCTAGGAGATCAAAGAAAGATTGCACAAAACAGCCATTAATAAATGTTTCACAGTCTATTTTGTCTCCTACAGAAAAATCTTGTCAAAGTGTGCCATTAAGTAAAAAGAAAAGAAGTAAACTAAAAAGAAGATCCTCAAGTGACTCCAATTCCAGTGATAATGAAGAAATACCATCAAAACTTAAAGAACCAGATTCTCCTGAAATAATTGAGGAGATATTGCCTGAATCGACAAATGATTCTCATAAACAGCTTACAATGCCTAGTCAGTCAGATTATCAGTCCTGTGAAATGAATGATGATGGTTCAAGGGATGCACATTCCTCACTTCAACCTTCAGCATTGCAACAAAATGAATATATGAATGTTGAAGAACCTTCCTTGGATTATGAAAGAAATTATGTTGAATCTTCAAACCTTTTGGAACAAATAATGGTGACAGAAGATGTAAGTTTTATTAATTTTATATATTTCTAATTTTCTTATTGTCAAGTATCTACTTCTTAAAATTATTATTGTGTTATATAGATTAGTCTGTACAATTCTGTTACGTAATTACTAAATAATTTGAAGCCCATAATTTTTTCCTAGAAAATTTAAAATAAATAAATTTTATTTTTTAATTGCATTTAATATTAAAGCTTGATATTAAATTAATATTTAATTCAAAATTGAAACTGTTGAAATTAAGAAAAATTGTTTAAAATTAATTTATTAACAGCAACATAACTATAATGAATTATTTCTGTTAACTTAGTTTTATTCTTATATCCATCTTTAAATTCTATTTTTAAAAATAGTAAACAAAATAAAATTTAAATGATTTTAATGAAAATTGACTTTTTATTCACAAACTATCTAAAAATTTCATTAAACAGAATTGTTATTTAAAGTTTATAATATATACAGTCTGTTTTCAATATATACATTAAATACATTCCAGGAATTCTTCCATACATCAAGTTTTATATGATTCAAAATGACAAATATTATTTCTATATATCTGCTTTGTCAAAATTGCAAATCTTGTATTTGCAAGAGAAAGAAGAAAGGTATTTATGTGAGACAGCAGGAAAGAAGTTTTGATTTATGGTTATATTTGGTTATTTACATTATTTCCCAATTTTGTTTGTTATTTTGAGTTTTAGAAATGAGTTGCATTAGATCTTGACTGCTATTTTAGTACAGTAGAACCTCGAAAACTCGACCTAATGTGAACCGAAGGGTGGCCGAGTTTGTGAAAATGCCGAGTTATCGGGAACGGGGTTAAAAAAAATAAGTACGAGTATTTCCTCAGAAAATACTGTACTGTACTTGTACAGTATTTACTTGTACAGAATATAACAGAGAATAAACTGCCCAAATACCCTTAAAGAAAGGAAAAGTACATCCTTTATGAAGGCATAGAGCCACTACATGAAAATGAAAATTAATGAATACACTGTGTACAGTAATTTACCTGATAAGACAGACCTCAGAAAAATACTTTATGAGAGCTTTTATACTTTTATAAAGCTGTCTATAATGAAAATTAATTAACTAAGGATTTTTTCGCCCTGCCAAGGTGTGGACCAGTTATCCGGAGTGCTAAGTTATCGAGGGACGAGTTTTCGAGGTTCTACTGTATTCACCAACTAGAGCTTTATTTGCATGATAAGATAGTAATCATTTGCATAGTAAAATTTGCATAAGTGAAATTACAAAATGAATAATGCATGCAAAATAAAATAAAGACATTATTTGAGCAGTTGGTCAATTTAACAAAATCAAAATCTTTTCCATGGTCTACTGTTTTTCAAACTTTTGTTTTTGTATATTTCAAATGTTCTAGAAAACCTCTGTTGTAAATTGGCACAGCTTATTGTGAATTCTTTTGCAAAATTCTGCAATGGAATTAGCTTCTCAACTTCTGTCATACACGTTCTACTTTAACTGATTCAAAAATCAATTATTTTTCAGTTGGGGTATATATTAGACATATTGTTTTTATGGGGGAATGTACCGGTACCTTATCCCTTATTGGTCAAAGGCAACAATTGTCTTGTGTGTAGTTAGACATTACTCTGTCTGACCAAAACATGTAACCTCCATTCAGATTATTTTAATTCTTGAAGAAGCACACTCTCTTCTTGATGCATACTATACTATATACAGTATATACAGTAAGACCCTACTTAATGCGGGGAGGATACATTACGTTCCTAGACGACAGAGCTCTAAACAAAACAGCATTAAATGAAGTCATTTTAACATAGAATAAATAGGGAAAGGGAAACACACATCCAAAAATAAACAGATTTTATTTTAATTTTAAGTTATTTTTATATTAATTTGCATAATAATATATGTTATAAAACACATACACATATGCACACAGAAATATAAAGTTAATTTTTGTAATGAAGGTCCTGGCTCTTCTGAAATATGTGATTTTTTGCGATGAAGTCGTCCAGTTTCATTTGTTTCTTTTTCTTTCATTAAGCAAATATCAGTAGCAGGAGATTGCATCCAAAATGCTTTGTCTTGCTTTTGCACTCCTTTCAAAAACTGGATCATTCACTACAGTTTGATCAACAATTTCGGTTATCATTACCAAACTTTTACTAAGGAAATCTGTAGCAAGTTTTTTGGGTTCTTCATTTTCAGAATCACTATTTTCTAGTTCTACATGAATTTCTTGTTCTGCCAGTTTTGAGGTTTATTGGTGGTAAGATTCTCACCAGAAACCTGTAGTAACTCCTCAATGTCCTGCTCATCTACATCTCCTAGTCTTGCTGTATGGAGTAGGTTGACAATTTGGTCAATGATAGACTCTTCTCATTGAGAAGAGTCTATCATCCACCTTTAACTTCTTCAACATACTGTTCATGCAGTTATCAGTTAATTCTTGCCAAGCAAAGTCAATATTTTCTATGGCATCCATGATGATGTATTTTTTTCCAAAAATATATGTCTATTTCGGTATGTCGGTCTATGTCTATTTGGTACAATTTTTCCAAAATTATACCAAATAGACATAGTTTTAAGGAAAGTACAGCACTATGATAAATTGCCACCTTTTGCTGATTGGTTCATGTTTGGGAATAATCGTATTAAATACGAATCAATGAATTGTCACAATAATTTGAATCAGCATAAATTTTGAGTTTTTTTTTTTTTGCGGCTTCAAGTAGACTGGTTATAGCTATACATCAACCAAAGCTGAATATTATCGGACTATAATATTCGGCTTTATTCCGGCTTTGGTTGCTGTATAGCTTTAAAAGTATTAAGTGATGTAAGGATGTTTGACTGCGTTATATCGAATCAGCATTAATCAAGGCAGCGTTAAACAGGTCTTACTGCACTTTCATGTTAATGCAAAATTTAGATGGGACAAAGATCTGAGACCATCCACAAAAATTTATGGCTACCTACATCAAAACTTTCTTTGGAAACTTTGCTTTACATTGAACTTTATTTTTGACATAATGTCCTTTCTAAAACTTTTTCACAGTAAAAACTTGCTTTCCCAGACACAGATTCAGAACTATTCAATTTAAAATACGACTCATTATCCATAACAAAAACCAGATTGTTTTCAGGACTAAAATAAGGCTCAAATGAAGCCTGAAATGTGGCCTAAACAGTTACATAGTTAGGTGCTTATGTTTCACTTCAGTAATTTTAATCTTTCTTCTCCTACTTCCTTCAGTTCTAGATAATAGTTTCTTCTCTTTGCATACATTTGAAATGTTTCACAGTGAAAAATTTACCCCTTGTCATATTTCTACTTTAAAAATTCCTAACAGTTTTTCTACATTCATCTTTTAAACCTTCCATTTCTAGAAGGTAAACAGTTTTTAAAAAAAGATTTGAAACCAAATAAGCAACTCTTGTGCAATAGAAAATCTTCATATTCAGTTTTTTCCCTCATATGTATGTGCAGAAAAAGATGGAGAAGTTTCCAGATTTTTAGTTTGTATCTGTATTTAATATAAGGTGAAAAAATTGTTGCTAATATCACTGGACAACAATGATTTTGTTTCGGGCTCAAAATTAGCATATTTGTATGTATTTTCATCTGCTGAATTCAAAAATCACTATAAAAATGACCAATAAGCTCTTGCTTTGGAGCAGCGATTCCCATCCAATGGTCCATGGACAACCAGTGGTTAGGGGATTCGATCCCGGTCCTTATTTCTAATCCCGGGATTTCGGGATTATACTTATTCAATCCTGGGATCCCGGGATTATTTCGGTATTGAGGGTTAATAAAAAATAAGAAAATCTTACAGAAATCAAAAATCAAAATTTAGACAAAAATCAATGTATTTTACGGTATACACCTAGTTAATTTAATCACTCTAATTAATCAGACTTACAGTCAGACTAACCAGACTTAAAATCACTGTCTTCATGTTAAATTTATTCTTTTTTAAGCATCACTGAGATCTCTTTAAACTCACATAAATTGAAAAAACCTTTATGTAACAAACTATGCAAATAAACGTTGAAAATTAACAAAAATCTCTCTTAACATCGACTAAATAGACTACTTTCATATAACAACCTAGTAAGTAGGTAGTAAAGTAAGTTTCTTAGCAAAAAGTATTTAAAAATAATATTAATCAGTCACATTTTTCTTAAATATAAAGAAAACTAATCTAATAGGAACATTCTAATTTGAATTGCGAAAATATGATCTGAGAAATAACAACGCATCCAGTGTCTCATCACCAAGTCTGCTTCTCAATTTGTTGCACATATATGCAGCTGCTGAGAAAACGCGTTTAGGTTTGATGGAAGTTGGAGGAATCGTTAGTAAATACTTATAAGCTTCGAGGACACGGGGAGGATGGAAGAAAACAGTCCGGTCGACACGGATCGGGATTGTAGGAGTAAAGGCTACAATCCCGATTGTTTCGATCATTGTAAGCATGTCTTTCTAAAAATAAACGCGTTAATTTTGTAAATTCGGTCTCTGTGTGAGTCTCTCAGCGTCCAGCAAACCACTACCCCGAAACGTAAAAAGACTTTCTCGCATCATCCTGACAGATCGCGGGCAAGGCGAGGGTCGTAACCTTTTCACCTAAGGTCGACCCCCCTAAGCGAGAGGCATCGGGTCTATATTAACCACACTGGCAAAACAAGATGGCTGACACATTGACAGGTAAAACGCACTGAGTAGTGCTCTCGACTGCGCCAGAAAATCGATTGGCGCCCGCGAAAATTCAAAAGTACAAAAATGAAGTATATTACCAAGTAACCCAGTGAGAACTGCTTGCCTATCATTTTAGTTGAAAATACAAGAAGTTTTATTCCAAGCAAGCATCGCAAGCCCACTAGGTTACTTTCTGCTGCTTGCTTGGAAGAAAATTTCTTGTATTTTATATTAAAATGATAGGTAAGCAATTCTGTTAAAAGCACTGGCACTGAACGTTTTGCTTCATGCAGTTTATTTTGCA